AAATGCTTAACTTTTGCCATCAGACACATTAAACACACATCCAGTTACTGCCACAAACAGATCCATGCTTCCAAAATGCCATTTTGTATTTTTCCATTCCTACTTATCTCCTTAAAATATTTTCCTCTGGTAGTTTAATTTTTTTTTTGTGCGTGGTTGAAAATGGAAATTGCTTACATAGTGAATTCCAGCGAATAAATCATTTCTTTTCTGTTGTATTAATCTCTGTGAACATGAATTTACATCCCACCCAGCTTCAAAGACTTCAAGCAGTTGACAGCTGACATGAAAATGGCAACCCAAATCCCATACAATCATAACAATGCTAAAAGTCAATTGCCAAAAGCTTACTGAAATAAAATCATTTTCATGACTAGAGAAAGTAAATAAACAGGATGCCTGATGTACGTGGAAGAGCAAAGTTTTCCACAGTGAGGAATCATTACTGAGGATTGAGGATCCTAAGTTCCATTTCCCATCTTGCACATGTGGGCCAGGCAGACTCTACTTAGAAATGATGATGATGATGATGATTAGTCTGAGACGATGATGAATCTGCATTCAGACAGGAAGTTGAACAACTGTCCTTGTGGTGCGGCTGGAACCATCTTGAACTGAATACACTCAAAACTGTATAGATGATAGAGAAAAAAAAATGGAACTTTGTTATTTATATGTTGACAGCAGCCAGACTATTGCACGTGCAAAAATGGAAGGACACTTCAATTCCTACCATTGAGGAATGGTTGCAGAAGTTGATGGTTGCAGAAGTTGGCTGAAATTGCAAAACTGACTACTTTGATTAAAGAAAAGAACATAAGTATTTTTGTTTCCACATGGAAACTGCTTCTGAACTTCATAATCGATGTGGAAAAGAATGAAACTCTGACTTTGGGTTTTACAGATTAGACCAGGGATAGGCAACCTGCAGCTCTGGAGCTGCATGTGGCTCTTTCATCCCTCTGTTCCGGTCAGCAGAGGGAAAAAAAAGTATGCCGTGCTTGGAGGAGACACTATGATAGAAGAACCGGACTTCCGGTCAGCAAAGGAAAAAGGACGTCGCACTAGGAGAAAACTCTATGGTGGTTAGAACCGGACCTCCAGTCGGCTCCAGAATTGAATGGTGGGGGGCTTCCGGTTAGGGCCTTTGTGGCTCTTTGAGTGTTTAAGGTTGCCGACCCCTGGATTAGACTGATAGATCTTTATAGAAGTGGCTTGTTTATACTGTTGTGGAAAAGCAAAAAGTTGTGATTTGTTGTTAACGCCTTATTTTACTGTAACACAGAGCGAGTCGAAAGTCAATGCTTCTTTTTCTTTCTTTTTTCCCCTCTATCTTTCCTCACTTCTCTTCCTCCTTTCCCCTCCCTCCCTCACTGCTCTTCTATTTACTTTTGTATTTTGTATTTTATAATACTCTATAACTCAATAAAAAACGCTTACAATAAACTATAGAGATGATAGTAGATTTTTAGGAGAAGCTCTCCTTCTCCTATTCTACCACCTCTTATAATACTAGACAACACAGTATTAACAGTAGAGACCTTTTAAGGCCGCCTCAGATTTCTGCTTGTGTCAAGTTAATTTTACGGCACAGGTAGTCCTCAACTTACAACTACGATTGAGCCCGACATTTTTATTGCTAGGCAAGACAGTTGTTAAGGGACTTTTGACCCATCTTGCGACTTTTTTTTTTGCCATCGTTGATAAGTGAATCAGTAAGAGTTCTTAAGTTAGTAACATTGACCTTGCTTGTCCGAAGGTCACGAAAAGGGATCACATGACCCCGGGACACTGCAACCGTCATAAGTACATGCCAGTTGCCCGGTGTCCGAATTTCGATGATGTGATGCTGCAGCAGCTGTAAAGTGTGAAAAATGGTCCTGCCACTTTTTTTTCCCCAGCGCTGTTGTCACTTCGAAGAGTCACCAAATGAATGATTGTAAGTCGAGGACTACCTGTATTTACCAAAGGGGCCAGGGGTAAAACCCAATTTCGTAGGAATCAGCTTCGGTCGGTGAACATCAGGAATTCATTCCCCTCATAGTTCCCACAGTCATTTCCCCCTCCCTAAAAAATAAGAGCATATTCATTTATTTGGGTTTCTCCCATTTTAGTGTAATGTTTTCCAGGCGCTTTCCTTCATGGGAAATACCTATAATCCTCATACGGAGGAAGACTTGGTGTTGGAATTCTCACATCCCCTAAATCATGGGCCCATGATTCCCCACCTCTGCCCTAAATGACTTCTCTATTGAAAGATTTGCCACTAAATATCAGTCGTTGGGAAGCATCAGCAGAAGGTTTCTGTCTTTCCTTGCCTGCAGGCTTTCCAAGAACGAGATACAGTAGTTGGTCACTATGGGGAACATCCTATTGCACTAAATAAACATTTGTCTTAAAGGAGTTGGGCTCCTATTTGTTTTTAAGATGGATATCCTTCCCCTGATTAATACCCTTCCCCTGACATAGTAGCATATCAGGACATTGCCTGGAGGATATTTCTGCTTTATGTTGATCCAAGCACTGCAATGAAGAGAGTGCTTTATAACTTCTTTCTTTATAAAATCCTTCCTTTTTCTTGCAAGCGCAACCCCAGACTGGATTTAAAGATATACAATTTAAAGATACGCAGACTTGGCGTTAGGGATCATCAGAAAGGGGTGCCATACCTCGTTCAACTTTAATCCTCAAGTTGCAAAACTGGTTAGCTCTGAAGGGATAATTGTTCTTCTGATATATTTCGCTGTTTATCCTGCAAATAGCGTAATTTGTCTGGAAATGGTTCTGTGTACATATGAATAAATTTAACTACATAAAGGACCCTGCTGCAGAACTACCAGTGAAAAGTTGCCCATAAGGATGAATTATACCTTGATTTAAAACGTAGCACACTTGTACATTTCTCTTTCTCCCTTTCCCCCCCAGTATAAATTTTACTTAAGATTTTACCTTTTTGTTGTTGTTATTGTTGTTATTGAAAACACAGGAAATTCATGCGGTGCTTTTGAAACTTCCTAGAATGATGATAAATGAGATGCATATGTTTTTCCCATAGTAACCCAAAACAAATAAAGCAGATTTTTTGATGCTTTTAAATTAAGCCAAGTTTTCTTTCTTTCTTTTTTTAAAGAAATATCGATGCCATGCAGCAATTATTAGCTGGGTGAAGCTTTAGATGAGTTTTTCCTCAACCTTGGGAACTTTAAGATGGCTGGCTTGGGAATTCTGGGGGCTGAAGTCCACATATCTTAAAGATGCTCTGGTTGAGAAACACTAGTACAGATCCTGAGATTGAAAATGCTCCTGGTTGGGACACAAGGCAGATCCAGCAATAGGATTTAAACCTGTTTTGAGTGGGATTATATTACCCTTCAAAGATCAGGGCCGCAGTCTAAGAATACTTCTAGATAAAGCAGAAATTAAATGGTAGTTACAGCCAGCAGAGGCTTGTCCAGATTAAATTGGTGCCCTGACTGTGTTGATCAATCACGCTTGGCCCAGTTTATAGCTGGGTTAGTAGCAAACATCTGGGAGTTGGATTACAGCAACACACTTCTAGAGCTAAGTGATCTCATGTATAGGGTTGAAATGCTTATAGTAGCTTTTGTTTACCTCAGACATTCTGTACACAAGTTACTCAATCATCAATGAGATTGCTATGTTTATGAAGTAGATACCAGATCGTTAACTTCAGTCAACTTCCTTCCTTCCTCCCTCCCTCCCTCCCTCCCTCTCTCTCTCTCTCTCTATATATATATATATCTCCCCCTCCCTCCCCCTCCCCCTCCCTCTCCTATACCAAATTCTGGGTGGCTTCCTTTTTTTTAGAGAAGGATTTTACATCTTCCTTTGTAACTTCTAGAGAACTTCCTTTTGTAAAGAACTTGTTTGGTATTATAGAATTTGTCACCCAAATCATGGCAGGCCGACACCTAAACACATCCAAAGAACACTTGGATATTATTATTGTTGTTATTATTGTTATTATTGTTATTGTTATTAGTATTATTAGTATTATTATTCCAGAATTAGAAGCCTAGTGAAAGTTTTTACAAGGGGAACGTTCACAATTCTTTCAGAAGTCTAAGCTATGATGTACAAAAATGCTAGGCTAATAAAATACCTTTTTCACATGGAGAGCAGCTGTTGCATTGAAGGATAATTGCTAAAGCCTTCCTTACTTAAGGCTCTGTCTTGAGGAGAAATCCCAGTTCTGTACTTTAGTTGTTTTGCATCTGAGTATGAAAGTTACTGCATAGGAAAATCAAACATTTTTAGTAATGGTGAAAGGTTTTTACAACATGGTTTATATCTACACTAATGCCATGTCTGTATTCAGAAATGTCCCAGCTTTGTACTGATAGTTTAAGACAATGAAAAACACTACTCTCTGTTGATAGTATTTCACTATCTTACATACATTCTGTCCTTGACTTTCTCCTTGTTCTTTAACTCTTCCTGTTTCCCAAAAGTCCAAAAGTAAACTTATTAACTAGCTGAAAAGGGGGAATAATTTAAATAAATAAATTAAAATAAATCTGTTTCTACATTTCTACATTGGGGGTAGAAGAAGGGGTTACTCTGCTAACATCCCACTCATTTCCTTCTGCATAGTAGGGGGTAAAACCTCCCTTCTCGGCTCTATAGCCTCTTTGCATGAAACTCCCCGCATATCACTTTGGAAGGTTATTTATGAATCTGACAGACTCTTGAATATGACTGAATTCTATTGAGGAGGGGGTCATCTGAAGTGATGATGATGATAGCTATAGCAATAAGACTTATATACTGCTTCATGGTGCTTTACAGCCCTCTCTGAGCGGTTTACAAAGTCAGCCTATTGCCCTCAACAATGTGGGTCCTCATTTTACCCACCTCAGAAGGATGGAAGGATGATGTTATCCATTCAATCATATCCATCTTTTGGCAATTCTGTGGGCCAGTCTCTCCACATATTCTGATTTTACACTACTTCTATGAGTTTTTCTATACTGTGGCTGATGTCAACTTTGATGGTGTTCAGCCACTGTGTTCTTTGGGTAACTAGGGTAATGAATGGCTAGCCTAGTACTGATGATGTTACCTAGTTGGGTAATGAAATGTCTGCAAGAAAACAACTAAGCTCAGAAAGCAACAAAGGAACCCAACAAATCTATTGCAACTCTGTCTTTTGATGATTTCCAAAGAGCACGTTTCAGCTTGTGCATTTTGCCCAATCTTAAATTTATCTATTTGTTTGTTTGTTTGTTTTTTAATTTGTTTATTTAATTTGTTCGTTTATTGCTTTCAGAGCTCAGAAGTGGTTTGCCATTGCCAGCTTTTAACCCATTGCTACCATTATAATATCCTAAACAGCCCTTCACTCCTGGGCATCTAAGATCAGAGACCGCTTATTTTTTTATAAGTTTTATTATTCATTTAATATTCAGACTGCTGAATACTAAAAAGGTACCTAGTATAGTTGGCATAAAATAATAAAATACAATTGCAGTGGGATCGTTTCTGGGCCCTTATCAAAAAAATCCTGATAATTTCCCAAGAACTGTACAGTTTGATAGAATTCAAACGTATTTGTTTGTATTAGTTGCATTTAAAGCTGTCTAAAAGGTCACCTACAATTGATTACATTTTTAAAAATAGCAAAACCAGTCAGTCTGTCGAACCTTTTGAGATGGATGATTTATTATTTAAATTTCCAACCAAATTAATTTTGCTGAGAATCAAATATGGAAATAAATAAATGTGTTACGTTTCATCAAAATTATTTGCTCTGCTAAAAAGTTTAATTAATGTGTTCTTGAGCGATAACCTAGGGAAAAAATAATGAAATGTTCTGATATCTGTTGTATGTTTGTTAATACCTGTCCTGACTAGAAATACCTTTGTTTCTTTCTTTTAGGCCCAGGATTTGAATGTGATTGAAGAAGTCATTCGAATGATGTTAGAAATAATCAACTCCTGCTTAACAAATTCCCTCCATCATAACCCCAATTTAGTGTATGCCCTGCTATACAAGCGGGATCTCTTTGAGCAATTTCGAAGTCACCCCTCTTTCCAGGATATAATGCAGAACATAGATCTGGTATGTACTTAATATCATCTGTGAAAATGCTATTTACAATTGAAAATAGCTACTTGTATTAACTCCTTTTACTAGGCCTTATTTTGACAGGCCTCTTCCCTGTTAGATGCCTTTAAGACTTCCCACTAAAATAATCCCTAGGTCCGTGACGGTGAACCTATGGCACACATGCCACAGGTGGCACGCAGAGCCATTTGTGCAGGCACACGAGCCCCAGCTAAACTAGCCTGCACTGCACATGCGCACGCCTCCCAGCTGATTTTTGGCCTGTTTAAGGCCTTTTTCGGCCTCCCAGAGGCTCGAGGGAAGCCTCTGCAGTCTTTGTAGGCCGAAAAACAGGCCCATTTTGTCACTTCCGGTATTTCCGAAAATACAGGAAGTGACGAAACGGGCCCATTTTTTGGCCTACAGAGGCTACAGAGGCTTCCCACGAACCTCTGGGAGGCCGAAAAAGGCCTTAAACAGGCCAAAAAATCAGCTGGGAGGCATGCATATGAGCAGTGGAGGTAAGGGGGCGGCGGGGGTAAGGCACGCGCATGGGCGGGGGACACATGTGTGCAATTTTCAGCACAGGAGCCCAAAAAGGTTAGCGACCACTGCCCTAGGTGTTGCATTTTTTTTCTCAAATTAACTGTTCATCTACTACATGGGTATCAGACTCGCAGCGTCATGTTGCTGTCACATGATGTTTCACAACGTTTTTCCCATCTGTGGAGCTAGGGTGGCCTGTGCGTGACGCATCCAGCCCGCAGGCTGCCAGTTTAACACCCCTGATCTAGTAGATTTATTAATGTTTTTAATATTGTGTTTTTCATCTTGAAAGAAGTTACCATTAAAATTTTTATCAAAGTGGCATGTGAAAGCTGCTCGCCATAGGAGAATTTAAATATTTTTTTTATAATATGAGAAGCCTACTTTGGCAGAAATGCCTCCACATATTTCTTTTTAGAGAAATGAGAAAAGATCAGATGTACTTGATAAGGCTTCAGTTTGTGCCGATTTTCTAGCAGGAGAGGATATTTCTGTATTTGTTGCTGCTTTGATATGAGAATACTCTGCTTTATCTGCTGAAGGGCACCGAAAGAAACATATAAAAAATAAGCTAGACACATTTTTTTAAAAATGAGTAAAAAATGCTCTTCCTCCAGCCAAACTTTTTTGGAATATAGTATTATTTTATTACAAACACAGTTGTGAACATCAGTTTATTGGGGGGGAAAAATCCATGCTTATTTATTCAGTATGCTCAGAGGAATTGTAACAGACAAAAATAAATTTTAACGCTCTCAAAAAGCTAATCAGCAAGTATAACAATGATTGGAAAATGCTGGATCTACGCTACATGTTGGAAATCAGAATTTAGTAATGAATTCTTGGCAACGACGTTTCAATAATGCAGTCTGTCAGTTGTCATTATTTGATCAACTGAATTTATAGATTTTTTTTTCTGAAAAGCTGTTCAACAATGTTTTCACATGCATTTGCTTAAAATGTTTTCTCCAAATTTTTCATCAAATGATCAGCATGGGAGGTTTACATCAAAATAAAATGTTATATTAAAGCCAATGTAGGAACAGTATTAGAGTCCTGAATAAGAAGAAAAGGAAAAAAAGAAAAAGAAATAATATTAGTTATTTTTGCCAGGCCTTCCAAAGTCCTATAAAAATACCTTTAAATGTTTTTTTTTTAAATTATTTTCCAAAGCTCATTATTAGGGAAATCCAGTGTGTGTAATAAGCATATATCACAACTATGATAAAAGAAGAAAATTGACTCATTTGAGCTGTGGTATTGGAGAAGACTCCTGCGTATTTTTCTTAGATAACAAAGGTAATTAACAAGCAAGTACTGGAATGCATGACACCAAATAGGTCACTAGAAGGAAAAATCAGAAAACTGCATCTCACTTATTTTGGCCATGTCATGCAGGGGAATTCACTGGAGAAAGCAGTTATGATCTGAAGAGTTAGCAGTAAAAGGAAAATGGTGACTGGACACCATCAAAGCTGATACCAGCCAGAGCATAGAACAATTCAAAGAAGTAGTGTAGGATCAGAAGACATGGAGAGACCTGGCCCATAGGAATCGCCAAGTGTTGAATGCGACTGAATGGACACCATCATCATCTCACAACTGGGAAGAACTTCTCCTAAGTAGCCACCAACTATGTCTTGAATGATAGGAAAGATGAAATGAAATTAGGGTTTAGGATTGTCAAGGTATGTTGGATGGGACTATTTAAAACTTTAAACATCAACATCAGCACTTTACATTGGACCTGGAAGCGAATAGTGTACAGAGCAGATTAATCTTTCTGGTCAAGGTAAATTGCCCAACCATAAATCTAATTTGTCCTAGTCTGGAACATACAAATAATTATTGCAGAAGTCAGGCATGGATCAGTGGTGAGATTCAACTTTTGTTACTACCGATTCTGTGGGCGTGGCGTGGCTTGGTGGACCTGGCAGAGGAAGGATATACTGTAAAATCTCCATTCCCCCCACCCACTCCAGGGGAAGGTTACTGCAAAATCCCCATTCCCTCCCCATCCCACCAACCTCTTTCCAGCTCCATTCTCCTGTGCAGGGCAACCAAAGAAGACCCAGCCGATCAGCGGGACTCAGGAAGCAGAGAAGAGATGAGGGCAGGGCCAGTCAGAGGTGGTATTTGCCGGTTCTCCGAATTACTCAAAATTTCCGCTACCGGTTCTCCAGAATTGGTCAGAACTTGCTGAATACCACTTCTGGCATGGATAAAGGCCAGACGTGCCTCCCTTCCTGATAAAGGGTTTAATGAACTCCCTTCTGTTACCCTCTATCCCTGGATATCAGCTCTTGTTCTGTAGGGGGGAAAAACGATGGAATACCTAATCCCAGTGTTCTATATTGTGATGATCTGGACAAGACAAGTGGGCAGCCATTTTTCCCTGTCTCACCCAATACAGGTATCCCAAAGGTGCTTTTTCAAGAGGCAACTGGACAGTTGCCTCTTGAAAAAAGAACTTTTGGAACAACCATGACCTGGATGACTGAGAATCTCCATAGATGTTTAGCTATGCACTTTGGGATGACCACCACAGGATGGTTGTGCACCACCTACCTTGAGGATTACGCCCATGGCGACAAAGGCCCTAGAAGTTATGTTCTTTGCACCTGAGAGGTAGCCTTCCCTAAAAAGTGGAGTTGCAGGCAAAGCAGATTGGATCTTGCTAGTGGTAATGAAGGAATGTCAACTGGATCAGCTCCACCCACCTTCTTGAGTGGGAAGGATGGAGAACAGAAGAAAGCAATGCAAGGGGAATAGGGATTAAGAGGACATCCTTTTCCTTGGAGTTCTACTGACTGACTAAGCTGGCCCAATAATCTTCATGTTCCCCATCACAGATTTATTCTACAGGTAGTCCTCAACTTACAACCATTTGTTTAGTCATCATTCCAAGTTACCACAGCATTGAAAAAAAGTGATTTATGACCATTTTTCACACTTAACCATAGCAGCATCCCCATGGTCACGTGATCAGTGCAGGCGTTACCAGCAAACACTTTTTTTTGACGTGACCTCTGATAATGAACGTCTTCCATGGTGCTGTCAGACGGTGCTCCATTCAAAATCCAAGAAAGACAGACTCCATTATTATAGAGAAAATGACTTTTACTGGAATTCAAGTGGTAGCATCAAAGTAATTCTAGATCTGAGGATTTACGCGTGAAAAACACATACACAAAGTGATGGCAACGTTCCCACCCACCATAGTTCAAACGGTCCATTCAATCGAAGATGTGTATCATGTCATGTGGGGCATCTTCAGGTGGTGATGCAGACATCTGGCCGTTGACCTTGGCCTAGTTTGACAAAGAGCTGCAGTTGCGCCGTAAGCAAGCAAGGAAGCATAAACAATAAAGTTTTCCCCCAAGTTATACAGTTCATTCTCTAAAACCTCCAGCACATTTCCCATCCCCACAAAGCCCAATTATTTCACCCTCCCCCCGTTACTATGGCAGCCGAAAAGATAGCAAGAGAAAGAGAAAGGAGTCTTGAAGGCTGACAGGTGCCTTGGGGTTGTGCCTCGCCATTTTTTTTTCCTTCCTTCCTTCCTTTCTTTTTTTTTTTTTTAAATAAGGCTCATGACCATGTGGAACATCTTGGAATCCTTTCTCTTCGCATGACGAAAGCTGTTGGAAAAACCCCAGGGAGCCATCCTGCCAGCTTCCAGAACACAATGGAGATTATTTTGCCAAACTAGGACGTACCATCATCCTTGAGCTCTTTGGTAGAAGGAACCAAGTTAGAGGCTTCACAGCAGAAGCAGGATAGGAAATAAGAGTTCTTCCAAGTCTTTGGAAGTCCAAGTCAATAAGATGAAAAGATAGTCAATCCATCCTGCCCAATCTGATGGCCTCCTCAAGAGTGTACAGCCAATAGCTAAACTAGAGGGCGTCTCTAAGTCTAAAGCTACTCCTTGGTACACGTAGACCTCAATTTACATCCTTTTAGTGGCTGTTTGAAGTTACAACGGCACTGAAAAAAAGTGACTTATGACTGTTTTTCACACTTACGACGGTTGCATCATCCCCATGGTCACATGATGATAGCTTGGATGCTTGGCAACTGGCATGTATTTATAACTGTTATGCTGTACCGAGATCATGTGATCCCTTTTCGCAGCCTTCTGGCAAGCAGTGGGGAGGCCAGATTCACTTTAATAACCATGTTACTAACTTAACAGCGACAGTGATTCAACTTAACAATGTTGGCAAAAAAAAGGTCACAAAATGGGGCAAAACTCTCTTCACGGCTGTCTCGCCTGGCAGCCGAAAACTTTTGGGCTCGATTATGGTTGTAAGTCAAGGGCTGCTTATAAAACCAAGGAATCCCTTGCCGAAGAGATTTTAATCACCCCTGTTGCTGCAGAAGAGAGCAAGGAAGACTGCTCGCTTTCCTGTCTCCGTGTCTTCAAATGATGCCGAGGAAAAAAGACCAACAGTTGAAAGATACACCGT